CTGGAGCCATTTGTAGCTCGAAGCTCCAAAAATGCTCAAACTTCAAAACCAGCTGTTCTCTATGGTGCCTGTCCCTGAGATCAGGTGTGAACAGGCACCATAGACAGCTATTGGTTTTTTAGGTTTGAGCTTTTTTGGAGCTTCAGGTTACAAATGGCTCCGGTGTGAGTGCAGCGTCAGGTCTCCTGGAGGCGGTGCCGGAGATCGGCGTTTAGAGGGAGAAAATAAAACCTTCTGTTTTGCCATTTTGAGAGAAGTTTTCTGGCAGAAAAAAAAAAACTAAACGCTGCCAGACACTCGTATAAAACACTCAGAGGGAGCGCTTTATTCTGCCAAGAGCACTGCTGTGTATTAAGCCAATGTGCATGGAGCATGATTGTTACTTTGTTTTTCTCTGGGTTGGATCTTGATAAGATTTATTACATTGTATGACTCCAACTAGGATCTATATTGGATTTATTGTTACATTGTATCACTCTGGGTTGGATCTCAATGAGAATTATTGTTACGTTGTATCTCTTGATCATCATTATTATTATTATTGTTACATTGTATCTCTCTGGATCAGATCTGTATCACAATGTAACAGTATATATCTCTCTGGGTGGGATCGGAATCATATGCTGTTATATTGTATCTCTCTGGGTGGGATCAAATTTTTGATGTATTGTTACATTGTCTCTCTGGGTTGGATATTGGTCATTATTACATTGTATCTCTTTCATCTGGACGATTATTATTGTTACATTGTATCTCTCCAGGCTGGTTCTATATTTGATGGACTGTTACATTGTATCTCTTCAATCTGGATAAATATTATTGTTACATTGTGTCTCTCTGGGTTGGATATGGATCATTATTACATTGTATCTCTTCAATCTGGATGAATATTATTGTTACATTGTATTTCTTCGATATGGACGATTATTATTGTTACATTGTATCTCTTCGATATGGACAATTTATTATTGTTACATTGTATCTCTTTCATCTGGACGATTATTATTATTGATACATTGTGTCTCTCTGGGTTGGATATGGATCATTATTACATTGTATCTCTTCGATATGGATGAATATTATTGTTACATTGTATCTCTTCGATATGGATGAATATTATTGTTACATTGTGTCTCTCTGGGTGGCATCGGTCGGTGTGTGTAGTGCTGTGACACGATATCTCTCCGATGTCGGCCATTATCGGTCGGTGTGTGTAGTGCTGTGACACGATATCTCTCCGATGTCGGCCATTATCGGTCGTTATCGGTCGGTGGAGGCCCCGAGTCCCTCACACAATAACACAGGCGCAGCCTCTCGCCACCACACCCCGGGCGTCCCATTGGCGAAAACAGACACTCAGCGCATCCCTGGTTGGACGGGCCAGACCTCTCAGCCAATAGGGAGTCGAACCAGGTAAACGGCGTGGCCACTGGCGGTAGAAGAGGCGGGACCAGCGCGCTGATTGGCCGCCTGGCATAGGTTTCCCATTAGCCAAGAGGTCTGGGACGCAGTGCGCAGGCGCAACGGCAAGAAAACGAAAGGCGACGCTGAACGGAGCTCTGGGGAGACGAGCGGATCTGAGGAACACAGCGGACTTAGGAGCTATCACACGGCGGGATCGACTCATCGGCCGCCCCGGGGACCTCGTCCCTGAGAGACACGCCCAGTCCTGGGCCTACCAGGCGAAGACGCCCGATTGAGTTCTCTGCACTTCACAAACAAAGGTCAGTGACCGTCCGCCGGGCCCCCCCTCGGCCTCATCCCTCGGCTCCGGAGCCCGGGTGGGGTAGGGAGAGACCCGAAGAAAGCGACCGACCTCTCAGCCAATGGGAGCGCCGCGCACGTTTCCCCGAGCTGACTTCCGGTCCGGGGAGCATCAGCCAATCAGCGGCGGAGGCTGGGAGCAGGGCCTGCCCTTCTCCCGCAGTTATTTCCGGTCTCTGCTGTCAATCATCACGGGCGGAGAGGAGACCGTCCACCCCCCCCCCCTCGGGGAGGGCTGGGAGCTGTAGTGCCGCCAGTGGCCCGTCCGGTGACTGCAGTGTGGGGGAGGGGGGCATACATTGTATCTTAAATTGGAGTCATGGGGGGGAGGGGGGCATACATTGTATCACACTGAGGTCTGTCAGATTGTTACATTATCGTCTTATTATCGTCTTATCTATGGATACATGACATCGTGCATTGCTACATTGTATCACACAGATCTTCTAGAGGACTGGTCAAATGAGGGGGGGTGGAGTGAAGAGGACGGATCAGGTGTGTGTGGGGGGGGGTGGGGGGGGAAGAGGACGGATCAGGTGTGTGGGGGGGGGGGAGTGAAGAGGACGGGTCACGTGTGTGGGGGGGGGGGGGGGGGGGGGGGTGAGCAGGGTGGATTTGATGTAAATCCTCATTTTCTACATAAAGACTAATTCTTCTGGTATAACTTTAATATACAAGGAGATGAAGATTTTTAGAATAACTTTTCATATTAGTTTTTTTATCCCCAGTTTAATAGGTTAATCATTCATATTTGGACAACTTTTCTGTTGTATTTAGGAAGGAGAAAAATAATCATCACCTTAATAATAACAATTTAAATAGATTTATTCATCTGAAACAATAACATTCCGGCGTCTGTGATTTGCTTCAACATCCATGTTTGGTAACTAATTTGGCTAAACAAAATATATATATTTTAAGAAACTTAGACTGTCGTCCCCGCCCCCCCCTCGCACTGCCGTCCCCCCCCCCCCCCCCCCCCTCGCACTGCCGTCCCCGCCCCCCCCTCGCACTGCACGTCCGTCCCCGTCCCCCCCTCGCACTGTCGGCCCCTTCCCCCCCCTCGCACTGTCGGCCCCTCCCCCTCACACTTAGTTTCACTTTCTTCTTGTGCAGATCTATTCCACTCCAAACAATCAGAAAAATATTGTTTCTATTCTATTCACTGAACTTCTTGCACCTTGGCAGTGAAGGGGTTGATTCTGTATTCATAGGTGTGTAGAAGTTAGGATGAAGGTCTTTTTCTTACCTCTGTTCATGTTATAACATTTTTGCTGTGAAGAGGCCTGTGATCTCCGCTGAGTCACATTCAGTTTTGAGAACTGCAAAAGTAAACCGACATCTGTGATAATATCTTGTAGGCAGAGAAACTGCCCAATAATCTTACAGAAACCTCTGGAGAGCGACATTGTGAATGGATTCATGGAATTTATTTACCAAAAACAATGAAACATATACAGCCTTATTCTACATAATTAAAAAACTAATCTTTATCTCATGATGGAATTACCTTTGGATGGTAATATATTTTCCTAAAAAATCTGATTTTAAATTAAAAAAAAATCCTTTTTTTTTCTTAAATCATTGATTTTTATCCACCCTAATGTGGAGTGAAGGGGGGGTGGGTTGTGTGGAGTGAAGAGGACGGGTCACATGGGAGGGCTGTTTGTGTAGCGTGAAGAGGACAGGTCACATGGGGGGGGGGGGGGGGGGGGGGTTGTGTGGTGGGATGGATGGGTCACAAGGTGTGTGTGTGGAGAGGACTGGTCACCAGGGAGATGTACAGTATCTGGGTGGGGAGCAGAGAGGACCAGTCATCAGGGGTACTTGGGGAGCATCCATGGTTGAGGGTGGGGGGGGGGGGGGTAAAGAAGATTGGTCACCAGGGGTGCATGGGGAGGGATATGTGAAGGAGGGAGTTGGGGTAGAGAGGACCGGTCAGCAGGGATCTGTAAAGGAGGGAGTTGGGGTAAAGAGGACCGGTCAGCAGGGATCTGTGAAGGGGGAGTTGGGGTAGAAAGGACCGGTCGGCAGGGATCTGTGAAGGGGGGAGTTGGTGTAAAGAGGGACCGGTCATCAGGGATCTGTAAAGGAGGGAGTTGGGGTAAAGAGGACCGGTCAGCAGGGATCTGTGAAGGAGGGAGTTGGGGTAAAGAGGACCGGTCAGCAGGGATCTGTGAAGGGGGGAGTTGGGGTAAAGAGGACCGGTCAGCAGGGATCTGTGCAGGGGGGAGTTGGGGGTAGAGAGGACCGGTCAGCAGGGATCTGTGCATTGGGGAGTTGGGGTAGAGAGGACCGGTCATCAGGGATCTGTGCATTGGGGAGTTGGGGTAGAGAGGACCGGTCAGCAGGGATCTGTAAAGGAGGGAGTTGGGGTAAAGAGGACCGGTCAGCAGGGATCTGTGAAGGGGGAGTTGGGGTAAAGAGGACCGGTCAGCAGGGATCTGTGAAGGGGGGAGTTGGGGTAGAGAGGACCGGTCAGCAGGGATCTGTGCAGGGGGGAGTTGGGGTAGAGAGGACCGGTCAGCAGGGATCTGTGCATTGGGGAGTTGGGGTAGAGAGGACCGGTCAGCAGGGATCTGTAAAGGAGGGAGTTGGGGTAAAGAGGACCGGTCAGCAGGGATCTGTGAAGGGGGGAGTTGGGGTAAAGAGGACCGGTCAGCAGGGATCTGTGAAGGGGGGAGTTGGGGTAAAGAGGACCGGTCAGCAGGGATCTGTGAAGGGGGGAGTTGGGGTAGAGAGGACCGGTCAGCAGGGATCTGTAAAGGGGGGAGTTGGGGTAAAGAGTACCGGTCAGCAGGGATCTGTGAAGGGGGGAGTTGGGGTAAAGAGGACCGGTCAGCAGGGATCTGTGAAGGGGGGAGTTGGGGTAAAGAGGACCGGTCAGCAGGGATCTGTGAAGGGGGGAGTTGGGGTAAAGAGGACCGGTCAGCAGGGATCTGTGATGGGGGAGTTGGGGTAGAAAGGACCGGTCGGCAGGGATCTGTGAAGGGGGGAGTTGGGGTAAAGAGGACCGGTCATCAGGGATCTGTGAAGGGGGGAGTTGGTGTAAAGAGGACCGTCATCAGGGATCTGTGGAGTGGGGGGAGTTTTGGTAAGGACCGATCACCAGCAATACATGGATTGAGATCTGTGGGTGGGGGAGGGGTATAGAGGATCATCCTATAATATTCCATTTATCTTTCTGTCTTCAGCTCCTCGGTGACTGAGAATCGTTCTCGGGATCAGACGTCAGAATGGCGGGGGAGAATGAAACCCCCAACCCCGGCTCCCGGATCATGACCTTCTACCCGACCATGGAGGAGTTCCGCAACTTCAAGCGGTATATGGCGTACATGGAGTCTCAGGGAGCGCACCGCGCAGGATTGGCCAAGGTAGGACCATATCACACTGGGAGCTTCTGGAATTGTCGTTCCATTGTATCGCACTGGGAACTCTCTGATTGATACATTGTATCAGGGAACACCCCGAGTGTGTCATCCAGTAGCACTGATCCGGCCAATGACCGGCACTCCCTGGGCTCCGTGGCAGAGCTGGGTGAAAGCCTGATTATAGATGGTGCCGGGCTGTCGATGGCTGATCACTCAGTGATTGATCGTTGTGATTGCAGGTGGTCCCTCCCAAGGAATGGAAGCCACGGACCTGTTACGATGACCTGGACGATCTGGTGATCCCGGCACCCATTCAGCAGGTGGTGACCGGCCAATCCGGACTCTTCACACAGTACAACATTCAGAAGAAGCCCATGACCGTCAAAGAGTTCCGACGTATCGCCAACAGTGACAAGTAAGTGACCGCTGGGAAACCTACAAAGGATGATCCTATATGGGGGGGGGAGGGGAGATCAAAACTGGTGCAGCTGTGCATGGCAACCAATCAGCTTGCATCTCCAACCTGTTCAGTTTTCAAAATGAAATGAAAGCTAGAAGCTGATTGGTTGCCGTGTACAGCTGCTCCAGTTTTGGTAAATTCCTCCCCAGTCTGTTTTAAAAGCCTGTATGTGGAGATCTCCCTGTTCTTGGGAGCCGCTGTCTTTACTCATTACATACGCAGGCTCTGCTTCTGTTTTGCAGCACTACGGCTATGCTTTACTGCCCCCTCCTCCACAGTACATGTCTCCAGTCAGCTGACTCATTGAAAACCATGCAATCCCTGTGTGGCTGAGAACTATTACGATGGAGATTGAGCCACTGTGGGCACCCGGCTGTGACCGCTTACGGCTTCACAGCCAGGTGCCCACTGCGCATGCGCAAGAAGCTCTGCGCTTTGTGAATGGCCCCATGGGACCTGTCACGTGTCCCAGAAAACTACGGGAGGAAGTGGGAGAGGACAACTTCCGTTTCCAGTCACCTAGGCAATCGAAGTGGGAGCGGGTACCTGTCAAATTCAGGGACCCGCCGACACCCGCTCCCCAAAGGTGCCAATCCATAGTGGGGGACAAAGGCTGAAAGTGGAACGTCCCCTTTTGGGTGGAACTCCCGCTTTAATGTACCTTTTTTATGGGACGCACAGTCGTCTTTTTGTTTGCCAGCACTCTGCCCTCAGCCCGAACAGCTTGGCGTGCGGGATTGCCCCCAGCACTTGCCCCAGCCGCCTCTGCTCCCAGGAGGCATCAGTGACATCATCATGTCTTTTTGGTGGGCTTGAAATCCATTGCCTTTTAACACTTGCCCCAGCTGCCTCTGCTCCCAAGAGGCGTCAGTGACGTCATCATGTCTTCCGGCAGACTTGGCTTGAAATCCAGCAAAAAATGTACTCCAGCCCATTGAAAGAGTGGATTCTTGTCGGATTTGGAGCTCGCAGCGCTGTTGGCAAGCACCGTAACGCGTCACCTAAGCTGATTGGTTGTTGATTGGCTGAGGTGCCATGGAAGGTCTGCTTTAAAGAAAAAACATTTTTTTCAACAACTGTACAATCCCCAGCCTTCCATATAATGGAGAAAAATGTCACCAGCACCTCGGGGTCCAAAAAGGCTTTAACCTCTTGGCGCCGGCTGAACACAAATGTGTGGCCTCCTGGTGTCTGGGCCTAGACGCTGAGCGGCTGCACATTTGTGTTCGATTAAAAAAAAAAAAAAAAAAAAACGCGCTGAGAGCGCGCAGCACACACGTTCGGTGCTCACGGAAAGGTCCTGATCTCTTTCGATTGGGGCCTTTCCCGATCATGCGACAACGAATTACGGTGGTCACATGACCCTAAAACCCCACCTCCCAGCTTCTGGAACCCTTTAAGGACCGGGAGGCGCCGGCACCAAAGGGTTAATGTTTTACCTAGTTCCAACCTTCATAAAAGCCTCTCGGACCCATATTGGAGATCCTTGGTGTGCCGGTGACCTCTCTCCGTTGTCTCTGCTCGGTTCCAGCCGACGGTCGTTGCAGCAGCCATCTTTAGCAGCTACGTGGGCGTTTGGGATTGTGCGTCCTTCCAGACACAAGATCGCGCACCACGCACAGTATTCGTCCTCAGGCAGGGAAGAGGCCATGTTTTTTCATGTTCGTTGTCCCATGTTCTGCATCGGCAGACGGACAGTTTCCTGCTTTGCATCTGGTTTTGCTTGTTGACAATATTTGCTCACTGAGGGATGCGGTTACCTTCGTGGTGTCCATATATTCAAATCAGTACATCTGGTGTTGGCAGCGCTTCTCCTCCACTCCTGCGGCTTTGTGACTTCTCTTCTGCACTGGCGTAGTTTGTACAGGACATCCTGTATGTAGACCCCAACGAGGAACTTTTTTTTTTTTTTTTTTTTTTTTTTTGTCTTCTCTTTAGGTCTGTTAAGTATTCCATTTAGGACATTTTTGCAGTTAAAATCAATTTCCTGATCCTGCCAGAAATCTTGAGCCTTCTCTGAATTACAGAACACCTTTCCCATGTTTGTGGAGATGATGGGAGAGCCGGGGGTTCTGTCGGCCTGGGGGAGGGCCGGGGTTCTGTCGGCCTGGGGGAGGGCCGGGGGTTCTGTCGGCCTGGGGGAGGGCCGGGGGTTCTGTCGGCCTGGGGGAGGGCCGGGGGTTCTGTCGGCCTGGGGGAGGGCCGGGGGTTCTGTCGACCTGGGGGGGAGGGCCGGGGGTTTCTGTCGACCTGGGGAGGGCCGGGGGTTCTGTCGGCCTGGGGGAGGGCCGGGGGTTCTGTCGGCCTGGGGGAGGGCCGGGGGTTCTGTCGGCCTGGGGGAGGGGGCCGGGGTTCTGTCGGCCTGGGGGAGGGGCCGGGGGTTCTGTCGGCCTGGGGGTTCTGGGCCGGGGGTTCTGTCGGCCTGGGGGAGGGCCGGGGGTTCTGTCGGCCTGGGGGAGGGCCGGGGGTTCTGTCGACCTGGGGGAGGGCCGGGGGTTCTGTCGGCCTGGGGAGGGCCGGGGGTGCTGTCGGCCTGGGGGAGGGCCGGGGGTTCTGTCGGCCTGGGGGAGGGCTGGGGGGTTCTGTCGGCCTGGGGGAGGGCCGGGGGTTCTGTCGGCCTGGGGGAGGGCCTGGGGGGTTCTGGGCCTGGGGGTTCTGTCGGCCTGGGGGAGAGCCTGGGGGGTTCTGTCGGCCTGGGGGGTTCTGTCGGCCTGGGGGAGAGCCTGGGGGGTTCTGTCGGCCTGGGGGAGAGCCTGGGGGGTTCTGTCGGCCTGGGGGAGAGCCCTGCTCCTCCATGGAAAGCCGTACAAGGAGTAAATGTTGTCAGCCTAGGACATGGCTGGATCACCCGGGTAAAGAGATGCCAGGAAAACAATATCACAACTATCTAAGGACCGGTGTGCTGTAATATTGCATTCGTTGTTGGGATTGGATACAGTTTAATTTCCCTTCCACTGATCAAGACGAGATTGTACAACTACCAGGGATTGGTTGTGTTTTCTGCTCACAGTTGGCCGCCTCCATTAAAAGAAGTGCGTGGAGTTGCTTTTTAATTAAAAAAAAAAAAAAAAAATTGTATATATAGCCCAACAGTTTGCGCAGCGCTGTACAAAATGAAGGCGGACATTACAGTTACAATACAATTTTCGGTACAAGAGGACACAGAGGGCCCGGCTCCTGGGAGCTTCCAATCTAGGAGGAAGGGTTGAGTGATACAAAAGGTAATGGCTGTGGGGGGAGGAGCTGATGGAGGAAATAAGTGGCAGTTTACTAGGTAGAAGCAGGATAGGCTGCTTTTAGGCTAGGTTCACATCTGTGCGGGTGGTGCCGCTGCGGATCTGCACAAAAAAAGTGCAGCCGCACCACCCACACAGAGGAATGCGCACCCACTGGCGGGTGCCATTCTAATGGCACCCTGCCTGCACTGGAATTCACAACCGTACTGGGAACCTCGTCTGCGTTTTCAGAAGAAGTGTAAGGACTTCTTCCCTGCGTGTCCCGGGCACAGGAGTCCAGCCAAATGAATGGGCTCTCGTGTCCCCGCAAAACGCAGACCGCAGAACTGCAGATATGTGAACTGGGGGTAAAAGGTTTTCAGGGATTGTGTAAAGGTGGATAGATTAGGAGATAGTCAAACAGATTGGGGTAGGGAATTCCATAGGATGGGAGAAGCTCTGAAGAAGTCCTGGAGGCGAGCATGGGAGGTGGTCACACAGGAACTAGAGAGCAGAAGGTCTTGGGAGGAATGAAGAGAGCGGTTTGGTTGATCTTTTGAGACCAGGTTGGTGATGTAGCCGGGGGCAGAGTTGTGGATGGATTTGTTAGTATTTTGAATTTTATTCAGTGTGTGAAAGTATTTTGAGATAGATATAGATATATCTATCTCAAAATACTTTCACGCACACTGAATAAAATATATATATATAATATAATCTGTGTATGGATGTGGATGCTGCATTTGTCCCCCGCCGGCTCTAGGGGCGAGACCTCAACTATCACATGACTGCTGACCACGGAGTTTTCACAGCTGCTTCACCCGTACGCCCTGTGCGCTTTCAGCACATATGTCTGTCTCGTGGAAAGGTCCCGATCTCCCCTTGCGATTGGGACCTCTTCCGATCATGTGACTGCCGTGACAGCGAATCATGGCAGTCACATGACCCTAAAACCCTGCCCCATCTCCTGGCATCTGAAACCCCTTAAAGGACCAGGAGGTGCCGGCATGAAGAGGTTAAAGATAAATGGACAGAGGTGGTCCTTAAAGGGTTATTTTAAAAGTGTGAGTAGCCTTTAACAATTGGGGGGGGGGGATAAAGAAGAAAATGCACGTTAAGTATTTACACCCCCGGTATGTTTTGATGGAATCTCTGCACACTTCCCTCGATAAAGCCAGAACCTGGTAATACTTTGATGTTTGGATGAAATGGGCCATAATTCCCAAAACCTCCTCCGCTGACTGCAGAGTCCTGGGAAAATTCCTCTGCTTGAGGCGAAATCTCCCAGCGTTGTGTAGAAATGTTTTTATTTTGTTTCCTTTTCTCCTTGTCCAGGTTCTGTACACCTCGCTACGCTGACTTTGAAGATCTGGAACGCAAATACTGGAAGAATCTGACTTTCAACGCTCCGATTTATGGAGCTGATGTCAACGGGACTCTCTATGACAAGGTATTCATCAGGAGCTGCTTTACACTGAGATTTTCGATGACCACAAAAGGAATTTATCAAAGCTGATGGTAGTTGGGGGGGGGGGAGGAGAGGATGTCTTGTTCTGAGCATTCGGTGAAAAGGCTGGTCATACTTCCCTCTGCTTGGTGAATCCAGATACGTCATGTGACCTGACGGTTTCTTTCCTGACAGGGTTCTAGTCGCTGACCTAGAACCAAGCAGATGCTGATCTGTGACATGGCTGTCAGGAATGGTTCCCTTTTGTAGGACCCATTGGAGCTCTCAGTACAAAGCAAGCTGTCCTTTTAAAGTATAACTACAGGCACAACTTGGTTTTGGTTTTGTTTTTCTTGGTTTTGGTTTTGTTTTTTCTTGGTGTTGGTTTTCTTGGTTGTGTTGGTTTTCTTGGTTGTGTTGGTTTTCTTGGTTGTGTGTTGGTTTTTCTTGGTTGTGTTGGTTTTTTGGTTTTGGTTGTGTTGGTTTTAGGACCCTTGCCAGTCTTTATTGCTGTCTGTGGCCCCCGTTTTTAGGAGATTCACCCTCCCTATTTCTTTCTGTATACCATTATTGAAAGTAAAAGAGGACCCCAAACTTTGTGTTGTCCTCTGAAAAATTAATAGAGGGGAAATCTAACAATGGGGACATTAGTTCTGTTGACTTGAAGGTCCCCAAGGGATTCCCTTTGAAGGGATTTCTTCACTTCCTGTCTGTTTTTTGTTGTTGTGTTTTTTTTTTTGCTTTTATTTTAATTTTTTTTTTCTCTGTGCGCTGCCACTTTGTTTTGCTCTGTTCTTCCCCTCCTGTTCTGCTACAGAACATTCCCTTCTTTCCCATGGCCTCTAGTTATTTTAGTTTTTTTTTATCTTTTGACTTCAGAATAAAGACCCCCTGTAGAATTCAAAAGCATATTCACTTTTTTGCTGCAGCTACGAAGAATCTCAGCCGTGGCATGTGTACCTACCCCCCCCCCCCCCCCCCCCCCCCCCCCCCCCCCACCCCCCCCCCCCCCCCCCCCCCCCCCGCCCCCCACTGCATGTGTAACCTATTGAAGAAATGCCTGTAATCTGTATGGTGCCCATCCTCACTGTTCTCTCCTTGTTGGCAGCATGTGGAAGAATGGAACATCGGCCGTCTGAACACCATCCTGGACGTGGTGGAGAGGGAGAGCGGCATCACCATAGAGGGTGTGAACACCCCGTATTTGTATTTCGGCATGTGGAAGACCTCCTTTGCCTGGCACACTGAAGACATGGACCTGTACAGCATCAACTACCTGCACTTCGGAGAGCCCAAATCATGGTGAGTGTGGCCAGTCCTGGATGTTGTCTCTCGCAGCCGAAGCGTCAGAATTATTTGTTCATTGATATTTATTTTTAATTTTTTTGATTTTTTTTTTTTTTTTTTTTTTTTTAGGTACAGCATTCCACCAGAGCATGGCAAGAGACTGGAGAGACTGGCCAAAGGTGAGTCCTGTGACCAGTCCGGGGGAGGGGTTTGTCGCTTCGGGATAATAAAAGAAGTCTGAGGTTTTTGGGGTTGGTCATTGCAAGCCGTCTTTAGAAGCCAGACTCTTGTCAAGGGAAACATCTTTCTTTCCAGTCACAGGGGACTGCGGGGTGTAAGCACTGCCTGTTAATCAGTCATAAAGGAAGAAATAAAATCTGGTATGTAGATCATGGAGTTGCATGGAGGACGGTGTTGGATGTTCATACAATAGGAAGTGAGATGAAATCCAGAACAGTTTAGTGAAAACTTTGATTTGAGATCTTCAGGGATAATTGGTACAAAGACCTACTATACTAACATGTAAAGTTTGTTTTGTATGGGTCCGTATATCGAGGAACACCATAGCAGATATCAAAGTGTTGCACTATACAAATATTGGGGTCATCTTTAGGGGTGCGCCGAAATTTCGGTGGCCAAAAACACCCCCATCAGTCGTTGGCTGATATGAAGAAGGAAAAAAAAAACCCCCAAAAAGCACCAATACAGGTGCCGAAAACAACCCGCCCACCGCTGCTGCTTGATTTATTTTATTTATTTCAGGTCCTTGTATAGCGCCGTCAATTTTACACAGTGCTTTCCATATATATTGTACATTCACATCAGTCCCCTAACCCTCAAGGGGCGTACAATCTAAGGTCCCTAACCCTCAAGGGGCCTACAATCTAAGGTAACCTCAAGGGGCGTACCCCCTCAAGGGGCGTACAATCTAAGGTCCCTAACCCTCAAGGGGCGTACAATCTAAGGTCCCTAACCCTCAAGGGGCGTACAATCTAAGGTCCCTAACCCTCAAGGGGCGTACAATCTAAGGTCCCTAACCCTCAAGGGGCGTACAATCTAAGGTCCCTAACCCTCAAGGGGCCTACAATCTAAGGTCCCTAACCCTCAAGGGGCCTACAATCTAAGGTCCCTAACCCTCAAGGGGGCGTACAATCTAAGGTCCCTAACCCTCAAGGGGGCGTACAATCTAAGGTCCCTAACCCTCAAGGGGGCGTACAATCTAAGGTCCCTAACCCTCAAGGGGGCGTACAATCTAAGGTCCCTAACCCTCAAGGGGGCGTACAATCCCTAAGGGGCGTCCCTAACCCCCTCAAGGGGGCGTACAATCTAAGGTCCCTAACCCTCAAGGGGGCGTACAATCTAAGGTCCCTAACCCTCAAGGGGGCGTACAATCTAAGGTCCCTAACCCTCAAGGGGGCGTACTTACATTCATACATACACATACTAGGGACAATTTAGATGGTTCTCAGCCTTACCTGAGAAACAACCAAATGATCCCAGCACTGAGATTAGTGAAGGAAAGATGGCCTCCATCTCTATGCTTTTGTTGGAGGACCAGAGGGATGTCCCTGCCAGTTCCGGCGGCTTGTAAACAAGGCTTTTTTTCTTTCAAAGCTCTAGATCAGTGTTTGTTTGTGTGTGTGGTTTTTTTTTTTTTTTTTTTTTTTATTTAATGCTTTACATTGTAGAGGAGAGATATGGGGTCTTCTCCATAAAGAGGACCTGTCACTAATTATTTCTGTCACAAGGCATTTCCTTGTGATAGGAATAAAAGTGATTCAAATTTTTTTTTAAAGGGAACAGTGTAAAAAAAAAAAAAAAAAAAAAAGAATACAAAAAATAAAATTTTTCTAAAGTGCCCCCGTGTTCATATAGTGGTGAATGCATACGCCTCTCTGTAGTTCTCAGCCTTACCTGAGAAACCACCAAATGATCCCGGCACTGGGCATAGAGAATGGTGAAGGATGGCCTCCACTCATCTCTATGCCCTTGGAGGACCGGAGTGATGTGACTTCCGTTTCTGGTGTCTTGTAGACAAGGGCCTTTTTTTTTTTTTTTTTTTTTTTTTCCAAATCTTTAGATCAATGTTCTGTTTTTTTTTTGATCTAATGCTTTACATTGTAGAACGAGATGTGGGGGTCTTTATTCTCCATAGAGAGGACCTGTCACTAATTATTTCTGTCACAAGGGAATTCTTTGTAATAGGAATAAGTGATTCAAATTTTTAAAGGGACAGTGTAAAAAAAAAAAAAAAAATAATTACAAAAAAAAAAAAAAGGTTTTTAAATTTGCTATAGTGGTGAATGCATACGCCTCTCTGTAGTTCTCAGCCTTACCAGAGAAACCACCAAATGATCCCGGCGCTGGGCATAGAGAATGGTGAAGGAAAGGATGGCCTCCACTCATCTCTATGCCCTTGGAGGACCGGAGTGATGTCACTTCCAGTTCCAGCGCCTTGTAAACTCGGCCCTTTTTATTTTTTATATCTGATGGCGGTATTTGTTGCACAGGCTTCTTCCCCGGCAGCGCTCAGAACTGTGAAGCATTTCTGCGTCACAAGATGACTGTCATCTCGCCCTTCATCCTGAAGAAATACGGCATCCCCCTTCGATAAGGTGAGCAGAGAAGGCAAATGTTTCGGTTGTGATTCTCTGGACACAATCTGATCAGTAAAGTTGTTAATCTGTGATTCTTGCAGATCACTCAGGAGGCTGGAGAGTTCATGGTCACCTTCCCATACGGCTACCATGCTGGCTTCAACCACGGCTTCAACTGTGCCGAGTCCACCAACTTCGCTACGTTGAGATGGATCGAGTACGGGAAACAGGCTGTTCTGGTAAGTGGATTCCAATTCGCTGAGACTTCCGAATTGTGAAGTTTATTTTGAAGAAGGTTTAAAAAGGCTATTAAAGTGTTACTAAACCCACAACCGTAAAATCATTCTTGGATGCAGTAAAGCATTCTTGATGTACGCACTGTGGAACCTAAGGGGCCAATCCTCTGCACTGTGTAAAAAGGCTGTTTGATCCTGACTTCTTTGATCCTCCTCTTCTACTGTCCCCAGTCCATCTGCTGATTGTACAAAGCTGTAGGAGTCACTCTTCACGGGGGTGTGTATGTGATTAGCACAGGGCTGATTGGCACTGTCCAGACAGAGGGTCAGGGGTTATGCAGTCAGAGCAGAATGAAAACTCCTATAAGCTTTTACCAGTGCTCTGCTGGACACTGATAGAAGTCACAAGACTGCTATATAAATGCTGATGAGGAAAGACTTTTTTTTTTTTTTTTTTTAAGCCTTTTTATATTTACTAAAATTATTGCCAAAATTTCTGTCTGCTGCGAGAGAGCAGATATGGTGAATGCGGGGTCCGGGGAGAGCGGATATAGTGAATGCGGGGTCCGGGGAGAGTGGATATGGTGAATGCGGGGTCCGGGGAGAGGGGATATGGTGAATGCGGGGTCCGGGAGAGGGGATATGTGAATGCGGGGTCCGGGGAGAGCGGATATGGTGAATGCGGGGTGGGGAGAGCGGATACGGTGAATGCGGGGTCCGGGGAGAGCGGATACGGTGAATGCGGGGTCCGGGGAGAGCGGATACGGTGAATGCGGGGTCCGGGGAGAGCGGATACGGTGAATGCGGGGTCCGGGGAGAGCGGATACGGTGAATGCGGGGTCCGGGGAGAGCGGATACGGTGAATGCGGGGTCCGGGGAGAGCGGATACGGTGAATGCGGGGTCCGGGGAGAGGGATACGGTGAATGCGGGGTCCGGCGAGAGGGGATACGGTGAATGCGGGGTCCGGGGAGAGGGATACGGTGAATGCGGGGTCCGGGGAGAGGGGATACGGTGAATGCGGGGTCTAGTCAGGATATAGGGATGTGGCTGGAAATGTAATTTCCTGTTGGAAGAACTGTTCTCTGGAGGGTGCCATGGGTATGGCTCTCTATGGGAATAAATTCAGCAGCCTTAGTGTGAACTTAAAGCATGAGGAGGACCTAGCGGAGATGCTCCATGAACAAAGGGTCTGCAGCTCCAGGCACTGTCGCCCAGTGAAGGGGGGGGGTCTGGATTAAAGACAAAGGTAAGTATTAGGCCAGGTGGGATGCACTCATGGGGTTGGGGGCATGCCTTTTTAAACAACAGTTCCTTTTTTTGAACTTTTAAATAACAGACCCAAAACTATTTTAGTTTCCCTTTTTATTTAGAAGACAGCTGGCCATTATAAATACAAAGAACAAATGTTTCATTGATGGGCTCGCAGAGAGAGATCACACCGGTGCCTGGTCATTGAAGGCAAATGCCAGTTTAAACTGCTTTCTGTAGAGTATAAACAACGTATCCACACAGAGATCAGACGGATCAATAGATGGCTGGGGTCCAAAAACTCTGTAAAGGGCAGGTAGAGGTGCGCTCCATGATTACAAAGGAAGGTTATAAGCGGATTTTTTAAAATGCCAGCTTGCTGAAAAGTCAATTGATTTTAACGTGTGTGTTCGCTGTCAAACCTGAGAATTTTATTTGCTTTATGTATTAGGTCTTCCCATCCACACAACAAACCTAAAAAGATATATTGCTCACCTTGCTGGGTCTCTGGAGCAGACCTCGGGCAGACTGCAGGAAACTGTCTGTCCCCAATGACCGGGTCTCCCCTGCCCCGCATTAACATAGGATGCAGAAGGCCAACCCCTTCACGATCCTTAACACACGTGTGGTGTCTAAAGAGGGATTTCCCGCACATATTCTGCGCTGGGTGCCTGTTTATGTGCTGAGAGTGCGCTGTTACAGACCACCGTTGGTCTGATGTACAGATCAGCAGTCAGTGGGCGCTGCTTCCAATCTGGTGGCCACATGATCACCGATCCTTTGCGCACCCCCTGGGTGTTTCAAATAGTTTAAAGGGACAACTGAGCAGGTGGGAAGAGGTTAATCCTGTTGGGACACATAGTAATAATTTAAGTTTGCAATTGTTAATGAGATCAGCCAGTAAAGTGTATGTATACAGGGGCGGACTGGACATTGGGGAACTTGGGCACTGGCCGAGGGCCCGGGGTCAGTAGGGGGCCCCATGAGTTGTCCTTGGTACCTTTTCATAGGCTTTGTGTGATTTGAGTGTGGGCAGGACACTGGCCCCATGATCCCTTATTGCCCTGGAGCCCCATGAGGTGTGTGTGTGTGTGTCAATGTAAACTGGGGAGGTTATTTACTAAAATTGGAGAGTGCAAAATCTGGTGCCGCTCTGTGTGGAAACCAATTGGCTTCCAAGTTTTTTTTTTTTTTTTTTTTTTTTTTTTTTTTTTTATGGCCAAAGCATAATTGAACAAGCTGATGTCAGAAACTGATTGGCTCCCATGCACAGCTACACCGGATTCTGATTGTTCCAGTTTTAGTAAATCAACCCATAGGTGTGTTATGCCTACAAATACAATTCAACCCTTTCACTGCCGTTGGCATATATTACACCTGAGCACTCAACCCCCCCCTAATCACTCCCCCCCCCCCCCCCCCCCCCCCCCCCCAAAAAAAAAAAAAAACTTGAGGAACCTCCTTTTTTTTTTATTTTTTTTTTTTCTTTCTTTCTTTTTTTTTTTTTTTTTTTTTTTTAACTCCATGCCTGATGGTGAACTTGTGTTTTCTAGTGCTCCTGCAGAAAGGACTGGTGAAAATCTCGATGGATGTGTTTGTACGCAAGTTCCAGCCCGAGCGCTACAAACTCTGGAAAGTGGGAAAAGACGTCACGGTTATTGACCACAGCCTGCCCACCCCGGAGGCAGCGGAGTTTGTGGATGAACATAATGAATCTGAGCAAAAGAAAAGGTCAGTGGCAATCTGGAGGTACATCCTGCATGTGTATCTACTGTATGAATTCCCTGAAGGAGCTGGTAAAGGAAGGGGTCCATTTAACCAAAACTGATAATGCTGTGTTTGGGAGAGAAACCCTTTCACTAGTGAATGTCATCGAAGTCTGGATGACCAGGTCCAGTTTGGGAAAATCTGCAAAGTGTGTGTAGATGGATTCTTCTTCCTCTTCCTTTTTTTTTTTTTTTTTTTTTTTTTTTTTTTTTTTTTTTTTTTTTTTTATCCTTAGTGCAGTAATTGTATGTGACAATTACAGTATTAAACAGATGCACTCAGCCACATTCAGGCTGAAGGCTTCTTTTGTAAAACCTCCAGCCTGCATGTGAATGATCAGTTATATAGTGGACATGGTGACCTCATGATGGGAACCACACTGGCTGGATCCTTATCCTTATAGCTCATAGCTGCTCATAGTGTTGGCTGCAACCTGTCAGAGGGGAGGTGTGAGTTGTTGAACCTTCAGCTTGGCTTGTTGTGCAGTTGACTGTTAGATTGTATGGGTGAACGAGTTAATGAATGCAATACTTTACATTATTAGACCATTTTGCTCCTCTTTTTAATGTAGTTGACTTTTTTGTTTTAGCGTGACCAGACACCGCATCGGAACCAAGCGGCACCGGGTGTGTTTGGAGGTCCCGGAGGAGCTGAGCCACAATGAGGACTTCAAAGATGTGCAGTGTGACATGGAGACCTCCTGTGTGAATGAAGTCAAAGAGGAGGAGTGCAGTCCGGAGGACACAGAACCAGGTATAGGTCACCAACTAAAAGACAAAGGACATCTTGAGCCCTTCTTTCTTTCTTCTCTTTTCTTTCTTCTTTTCGCCTTTTTTTTTTTTTTTTTTTTTTTTTTTTTTTTTCCCGTTTTCATGATGGGGAAGCACAATGCAAAAGAAATGGTTACTAAACTAGAACTCTGCTGAATGTAGAGCTGCGATAGTGTACAGCCATTGGAAACTGTGAGTCGCTGATCCAAGCAAGGAAGGGTGTAATCTGACATAATGGTGCCCCTAAATGAAATTCTAAATCCTCATATGTAGTGTATGTGGGTATACCATGCCTGCCTCCCAGAAGAACGAGGTATAAACTGGGTAAAACAAGGAGACCTTATACCAGCCTTTATCAACAGCTGTTTTTTTTTTTTTTTTTTTTTTTTGTCTCAAGTTTATTGTGCCAAAAAGTATTAAAAAAAAAAAAAAAAAAAAAGTACAGAAATCTAAGAAGAAAAACATTTTATGCAATGCTTCCTAATCTAGGAGTTAGCGAAACGTCTGCTTACTTGGGTCAGTAGACAAAAAAAAACCTTTTACATTGGTGGTCAGTGGAGGAATGTCTTCTAACACACTGGTGGTCTGTAGAGAGTAGTGCCCTTGATACTGGTGGTCTGTAGAGAGTAGTGCCCTTGATACTGGTGGTCTGTAGAGAGTAGTGCCCTTGATACTGGTGGTCTGTGGAGAGAAGTGCCCTTGATACTGGTGGTCTGGAGAAGTTCTCCTTTTTAAAATGTGAATTGGTGGAAAAGCGCCCTTGCTTGGGTTGGTGGAGGTGTCCCCAAGCATTCCGTTCTAGAGGTGATCCCTAAAATGTGAGTGGAAGGTTCTCGTTGATTCAGGTTCTGGTATATCTGGTAGTGGTTGGTTCTCTTTAATCTCTTGGCGCCGGTGCCTCCAGGCCCTTTAGGAGTTTCAGAAGCCAGGAGGCGGGTGAGGTTTTAGGATCATGTGACCGCCATGATTTGTCGTCACATGATCGGAAAAGGTCCCGATCGTAAGGGGAGATTGGGACCTTTCCATGAGTTGCGTATATATGTGCTGGAGCCCGTTCTTAGCACATATGTATTTTCAAACTGCATGCAAATATGCGGCCCCTCGGCGTCAAGGCCGAGAGGCCGCATATTTTGTGTGCGCTCGGCTAAAAAGGGTTAACTAGACTTGCTCTGTAATGTTATAGATATTGAGGTTGATTTTACTAAAACTGGGAGCACACAGAATCCGGTGCGGCTGTGCATGGGAGCCAATCGGCTTCTGACTTCCACTTGTTCAGTTAAACTTTGGCTATAAAACCTGGAAGCTGATTGGTCTCCTTGCAGAAGTGAGCCTGATTGTACACTCTGATTTTATTACATAAACCCCCCTTTGTAGCTAATCCAAGTCACTTCCAAAGCGTGTCGAAACCGAATGTATTCACACAGTTGGCACAGACACCTTAATCCAATCTCTGTGGAATGTGTCAAGGCAGATGTTGATTGTTCAAGAACAAGAGAGAGGTGTAAAATACATTGACCTGCCCTGTTCTGATTGCATCATCCATCATTGGTGTCTGGAAGCTTGTTAGGTGTTTGTTCCTTGATTTGATTTGAGCTGAGATAGTAAATTGGCATTATGTGTTGAAGGTCCCCACCCTGTTCAGTTTGATGTAGATGATCTTTGTCATCCAGTTGGCTTTTTTTTTTTTTTTTTTTTTTTTTTTTTTTTTTTTTTATATCTTATCTGCAATGTGCTCCTAGCTGTACTTGACAGATCTCCTCCCTTTTCCATAAAGCGGAACTATACTCCTCTCCACTCCAGCAATGAGGTTTTGTGTCCCCAATGTACAGGTCTGTATGGTCTTCACTTCACCAACCAGACTTGGTATATGCAGTTCACTTGTGTTGGGTCCTTTTTTAGTTGTTCAAACTTTTATGGCTCGTGGTGTTGATTTATGTTCCATGCACACTAGCGTGGTGTCTGTCTCCCCCTCCTTGGCTCTGTCTCCCCCTCCTTGGCTCTGTCTCCCCCTCCTTGGCTCTGTCTCCCCCTCCTTGGCTCTGTCTGTCCCCCTCCTTGGCTCTGTCTCCCCCTCCTTGGCTCTCTGTCTCCCCCTCCTTGGCTCTGTCTCCCCCTCCTTGGCTCTGTCTCCCCCTCCTTGGCTCTGTCTCCCCCTCCTTGGCTCTGTCTCCCCCTCCTTGGCTCTCTGACCCTCATTTCCTCTATTAGGTCTGCAGTCTGACACTCCTCTCATTACATATATTAAACATTGTGTGGCTCTTTTGGTAATGTCGGGCCACATTTTAACCCCCCCAGCTCATAAGTTGAGAGGACCCCAGTTTGAAAAAAAAGCTGCCTTACACCCTTTATAGGGTAGAAGAATATCACCCCATACTTTCTTTTCCTTTTTTTTTTTTTTTTTCTTTGATATTTTATTCCGTTTTGAAGACTGGAGAGTGTGTTTTTTTTTCTTTCTCATACATTTCAATCTGCCTCCTTTTTCAGGGTCTTCTGGACAACAATATGAAACTTTGAAAAATGTTGAAAATTATGGCATGCCAGAAAGTTACACTCCATACTCCAACCCGGCCAGCCCGTCCTCCAGTGCAGACAGCTCCTCGTCATCCCAGGACAGCTCCCCGGACAGCGCGGCCTCATCGGACACAGATTCCGACACACAGCAAAGATGCACCACGAAGAAAAAGGCCGGTGTGCACAGCTACTCCAAAGGCAAAGCTGCCGTGCAGAAGAAAACCAGCTCCATGGCCAGCTTTACCGAACACGAGCTGGAGGAGGTAAGTGTCCATGGTGGAGGTAGATGTAAACCAAATGACTAAAAATCTCATTTCAGCAGAACTAGTCCCAATATTTACCTGTTCAGCGGTTCGGTCCTGTGCCAGTGCCGGGCTGCTGGTCTTTGGTCCTCTTCATTGTCTGGTGGGGTATGACGTCATTCCTGCGCATGCGCAGGGGGCTGTCCTTCTGGCTCTCGGAGACTGGCCCGGCAAACACTCGAAGCTGAACTACACATGTTTACATTGCTGGAGGAGACGGCGAGCAGGCAGGGAGGGGCATTTTAGTCGGGCAGATCACAAAATCCATTTCAAATGGATTCTTTCGGCAACGTAAAACTTTCTTGAAGGCAATATGACTTCAGGAGCCAGGAAGTGGATGCTGCTGTCGGGGGCTGTGTAGGACACCAGAAATCCTGGAGTGCATGGATTGCACGGGGCCAGAATTCCTCTTTACTGAAACTTTAGGATCTGCTATATGCATCATGACTTGTATCTCAGCAGTAACACATTTTTCTGGCAGGTTGCTGGGAAGCACCGGAACATGCAGGAGCACCAGAATGCCAAAAGCAGAAGACAACCCCTCTCCAAACTCCCCCGTTACCACCCATTGGTGATGAAGGACAGCAGTAGTGAAGATGGTAGGTGCCTTCATGGTATAATTCAAGTTGTTGTAAACCCCAAATTAAAATATATATATATTATTGTATATGTGTTAGTATTCTATATTTCAGTATTCTTTATTATATATATATTTTAGTATTCTATTCTATTCAGTCAGTATTATTTAATATATATATTTTAATATTCTATGTTTTAGTATTTATAATATATATATTTTTTAGTATTCTATATTTCAGTATTTATCGTGTGTATGTATGTATATATGTGTGTATATATGTGTGTGTGTGTGTGTGTGTGTGTGTGTGTGTGTGTGTGTATGTATGTGTATATATATATATATATATATTTATATATTTTTTTTTAGTATTATATTTTTTTTTTTTTTCCCCTCCAAATAATTGTATACAATTTATCTTCATAAATTTTATATATATGTATGTGTGTGTATCTATATATATGTATGTATGTATATATATATATATATATATATATATATATATATATATATATATATATATATATATATATATATATATATATATATATATATTTTTTTTTTTTTTTTTTTTTTTTTTTTTTTTTCAGTTTTTTTTTTTTTTTTTTTTTTTTTGCCATTAAATTCTTATTTCTTCCTCCTTGTCCTCCAGACCAGCCTGAACAGACTCTGAGGGATGATGAGTTTGAGGAGACGGAGCCCTGGGCCAAACCCCTGAGCCAGCTGTGGCAGAACAAACCTCAGACCTTCCAGTTGGAGAGGGAATACAACCTGGCCATGTCTCGGGTCCCTCCGCACTGCTCCGTATGTCTGCTCTTCAGGACGTATTATCAGGTGAGCTCTCGCCGGAGAGTAGTGCGGCTGCCGGGCAGAACTGATGCTTGGGAGAGTTGGAAATCTTACGGTTCCTTTGTGACAATTTAAATGAATTAAAGTTGCTCATTAGGCGTGTTTGCTTCATTTGATTTGTGACCGGCTGCCTGGGTAAAGCTGTCTTGCTGCCTTTTTTTGTTTAACCACTTGCCTACCAGGCACTTATACCCCCTTCCTTACCAGGCCAATTTTCAGCTTTCAGCGCTGCCGCACTTTGACAATTGCGCGGTCATGCAACATTGTACCCATGTGAAATTTTGATCCTTTTTTTCTCACAAATAGAGCTTTCTTTTGGTGGTATTTAATCGCCACTGGGCGCTTTAAACTTTTTGCGCTATAAATAAAAAAAAGTGCAAAAAATTTGAAAAAAAAAAGTTTGTTTCTTTTATAAAATTTTTCAAACAGGTATATTTTCTCCTTCACTGATTTGCGTTGATGAGGCGGCACTGATAGGCGGCACTGATAGGCGGCACTGATAGGCGGCACTGATAGGCGGCACTGATAGGCGGCACTGGTGGGCACGGGTGGGGGCACTGCTGGGCACGGGTGTGGGCGGGGCTAGTGGGCGCACTGCTGGGCGGAACTTGCGGGTGTCACTGCTGGGCACCGATCATCAGGGCACTGATCATCAGTGCCCTGATGATCGGTGCCGATCCCCGCTCTGACAACTGCCGGTTCTCGGCAGTACTTTCCTCACGATCTGACAGCGTGAGGAAAGTGCAGCCGAGAACCGGCACTTGCATTTCCCTGTGATCAGCGTGTCATTGGACACCGCTGATCACGTGGTAAAAGGCCGGTGGGATCGGCCTTTCACCACATCTCGTGATCAGCTGTGTCCGTAGGACACATGAATCATGAATCAAAATTCAGCTGGTGTCCGTAGGACACAGCGATCACGGAGATCGCCGGGTGCGCGCCCCCTGGGGCGCGCAGGAGAGCGCGTTCTGGGAGGACGTCATATGACGTCCACTCAGAACTGGCCGGCCGCGGTGAAGCCGTCATTCGGCTATGCGCGGTCGGCAAGAGGTTAAACTTTTATTTTTGTAGCACTTGATAGTGTACACAGTACTACTCTGGCCACTTTATTTGCATAGAAAAAAGTATATCTGATTGTGACCTCCATCCTGTCCAATCAGCCTGCAGATGGGGTCTGTCCAATGCTCTTGTAGCCGGATATTCATGAATCAAAATTCAGCTGGTTCTGCAGGGACCGCCTGGTATTTCAATCCTTGTATGAAAACTGTGTGTGTATAGAAATCGATTTACTGATGGACTTCTGTACGACCCGCCTGCTGGATGAATGCTGCTCAATCAGTGCTGCAGGCTATACCCAGCAGCACTGATCATTGTATTCTAATGGCAAGGAAATCTCCCTGCCGACAGAACACAATTGCTCAGTTCATGATTCTGCCATCCACAGTGAATGTGTGGGTGGGGGAACCAGGTCAGTGTGTGCTGGATTGTGTGGTGTTTGTGGTTTTTTTTTTTTTTTTTTTTTTCCTTTTTTGTTTTTGGTGTGTGTGGTGTGGGTTTTTTTTTTTTTTTTTTTTTGTTTTCCTCCCAATTCAACCTGAGGTTGAAGGACAAAACCTGAATCATCTATGGGCTTCTTTACTCCCATTCCCTCAAGTCTGCTTAGTGCTTGAGGTCAGTATACAGGCATTCCCTACTGCAGTGCCTGAGCTCAAACCACAGGCATCCCATACAATACCCTACACCAGGGGTGGGCAACTGCGGCCCTCCAGCTGTTGAAGTACAAGTCCCATGAGGCATTGCAAAACTGACAGTTACAAACATGACTCCCAAAGACAGAGGTATAATGGGACTTGTAGTTCACCAACAGCTGGAGGGCCACAGTTGCCCGGTGCCATGGGTGTTCAGCCTGTGGCCCTCCAGCTGTAGCGGAACTACATGTCCCATGAAGCAAAGCTGACAGTTTAAAAGCATGACTCGCAGAGGCATGATGGGACTTGTAGTTCCACAACAGCTGGAGGGCCACAGGTTGAGCCCTACACAAAGTTTCAGCCGAGAGAATGAGTAGTAGTGTGTTGTATCAAAAAGGGATGTCGGGTGAATGACATCTTACAACAGTGGCAGCAATAGTTTAAATACAATTGCCTTTTTTTTTTTTTTTTTTTTTCCTCACTATAGCTCACAGAATTAGCTGTCACTTTCCCTGGAGCTAAAGGATACTTTTGTTTCTTTTATCTCAATAAACTAAAAGGAAACCTTGTTTCTTTTAACTCAGGGAAATAAACTAAAATGGAACCTTGTTTCTTTTAGCTGGGGGGGAAAGTCACAGCTGATTCTCTGAGCTATAGTGAAGGGGGGGAAAAAGCCGGTAATTACATTGAAAAACCGGCACTGACCTATAGTGAGAGCGACCCTTTTTTCACAATATGAAACGTCCCGGAGATCACGTTAAATTCGTAAACTGAGGTACAATTGTAGCTGGCAAATGTTAATCTTTTTTTTTTTTTTTCTTTCCCCTTCTCAAGTCTGATTGTGAAACTCAGAGCAAGGCCGTTCCCACCCCTGTAGCCTTCCAGCTGAAAACAAAACCACTTATCCCAGAGATGTGCTTCACAACCACCAGCTGCAACACCGAGCTGAACCTGTCAGCTCCGTTCCTGGAAGACGATGGAACCAGCCTGCTGATCTCCTGCACAAAGTGCAACGTGTGTGTACATGCAAGTAAGTGCTCACTGTATACTGAGGCTGAGCTCAGGCACGGGGGATGAATGGCAGGAGCTGCGTCTGACCTCCGAACCCTGGGGAAGGATGGGGGGGGGCCTGTGAGCTTAAAGGAACGGCCTGATTAATAAGTTTTAATAAACGTTCAAAGAAGTGTAAGAACTAGAGCCGGGATCCTCTGGCGGCCTAACGAGGGCCACTTCATTGTTCTTCAGAGGTCATGGGGAGGAAGCTGCCAACAGGCATGAGGCTGTGATATAGCTCGGCTAGAGAATGTTCTCAACGGCAAACTAATCTGTCACAGATCATAACCCTAGAGGTACCAACAAAGGAAAAGGGGGGAGGGGCCTTTTAAAGGATCGGTCCTATCCAGTCCCATTTTTGTCCTCTGGTTCTTATCTCTTCCTTTTCTCTGCAGGTTGTTACGGCGTGTCCAAAGACAAAGCTGTGGAGGGCTGGATGTGTTCTCGCTGTGAGGAGGATGCCATCACACAGGTAGGATCCCCAGAGCACCCCCCTCTAACCAAACTGCACTGATGTCTTACTGTAATCTGTTATTGGATGACACCCTCATATCTGTCTGCTCTTCCTAGGACTGCTGCCTGTGTTCTCTGAGAGGTGGAGCGTTACAGAAAGCCAATGATAACCGGTATGTAGTGTGGGAGTGAAGTCTTGTGATTTGGGTGTGGTCGTTTTTTTTCCTTTCCCTTTTCCTTTCCCCCTCTTTTCCTTTTTTTTCCCTTTTTCCCTCTTTTTTCCTTTTTTTCCCTTTCCCCCTCTTTTTCCTTTTTTTTCCTTTCCCCCTCTTTTTCCTTTTTTTTTTTCCTTTTCCCCCTCCTTTTTCCTTTTTTTTTTCCCTTTTCCCCCTCCTTTTTTCCTTTTTTTTCCCTTTTCCCCCCCTCCTTTTTCCTTTTTTTTCCCTTTTCCCCCTCCTTTTTCCTTTTTTCCCTTTTTTTTTTTTTTTCCTTTTTCCTTTTTTTTTTTTTTTTTCCCCCTCCTTTTTCCTTTTTTTTTTTCCCTTTTCCCCCTCCTTTTCCTTTTTTTTTTTTTTTTTCCTTTCCCCCTCTTTTCCTTTTTTTCCTTTTTTTTTTTTTTTTTTTTTTTTTTCCTTTCCCCCTCTCTTTTTTTTTTTTTTTATATTAGCTCATCCCACACAGTTATTACTATTTGTAACCCTTGCCTCTCCCTTTCAGATTGTAAGCTCCCATGCACAGGACCCTCCTAACCCTCTTGTATTGTATCTGTATTCTGTGTTCTTCTTTGGTGTTATAAATTCTGTAGAATGATCATTCTGAACTTTTTTTTTTTTTTTTTTTTTTTATTTTCCAGGTGGGTTCACGTCATGTGTGCCGTGGCCATTGCCGAAGCAAAATTTGTCAACATTGCCGAGAGGCGTCCTGTAGACATCAGTAAAATCCCCTTGATGAGGTTCCGGCTGGTATGTGTTCTGGCTTTGTTGGGTCTTTTGCTTTTGGTGATTTGTGTTTCAAAAGGTGCTGATCTCCTCCATCTTTGTTCTAGAAATGTGCTTTCTGCAAGAAGAGGCGAAAGAGGGTGGCGGGATGCTGCGTCCAGTGCTCACACGGCCGATGCCCCACGTCGTTCCATGTCTCCTGCGCCCAGGCTGCTGGAGTGATGATGCAGCCGGATGATTGGCCCTTCGTGGTGTTCATAACCTGCTCCAGACACAAACCCTCCCAGAATGAGGTAATGTGGAGTTCGGTTTTTGGATTGATAAAGAATCGATTCTCTGCCGGTATTTTAAGATGAGCAGTTCTAGGCCTCCTCTTCCTTTAGGGGGTAGGGCATGAAGAAGCCTGGGTAGGGTTCTGGTCCATCTCCCATCCTCCAATTGTAAATGGGGACATAGAAGAAGCCTGGGTAGGGTTCTGGTCCATCTCCCATCCTCCAATTGTAAATGGGGACATAGAAGAAGCCTGGGTAGGGTTCTAGTCCAGCTCACATCCTCAATTGTAAATGGGGACATAGAAGATGCAGGATTATAGAGAGGTCAATACCCATAGGAAGTAGGGTGTGAAGAAATCTGTATAGGGCTTTGGTTCCTCTCCTACCCCATAGTAAAGGGGTTAGGGGGGCATAGAAGATGAGTGGTTCTAGGTCTCTTCCTTAGGGGGTAGGGCATGAAGAAACCTGGGTAGGGTTCTGGTCCATCTCCCATCCTCCAGTTGTAAATGGGGACATAGAAGATGCAGGATTATAGGGAGGTCCATACCCTTAGGAGGTAGGGCGTGAAGTAATCTACTATGGGGCAGGAGAGGAACCGGAGCCCTATCCAGATTTCTTCACACCCTACCTCCTAAGGGTATGGACCTCCCTATAATCCTGCATCTTCTATGTCCCCATTTACAACTGGAGGATGGGAGATGGACCAGAACCGTACCCAGGCTTCTTCATGCCCTACCCCCCCCATAAGGAAGAGACCTAGAACCACTCATCTTCTATGCCCCCCCCCCCATCCCCTTTACTAAGGAAGCATAGAAGTTGTAGGGTCATAGGCCCCTTTCTTGGCCATCACAGCATGATGAAGCCTGGTGGAGTTCTGGTTCCCCTTCTTTCTCCTAAATGCTTCATGGACAGGCAAGACATTTTGGCATTTTCAGAAGAAGACCATCAATGGTCGCCAATGTAAATCTTCATTTCCTATGTACTCTAATCTGGTGCACAGGAAGTATTTGTAGGTTTATAGGCGGGGAGGAGCCTAAAGCTGCATCTTCCATTTCTCTCTCGACAGGGCAAAGACTCTGATAGAGACATCGTATTGGGGCAGACGGTCATCGCCAAACACAAGAATGGCCGTTACTACCAGAGCGAGGTGGTCAAGCTGACAAAGGAAACCTTCTACGAGGTCAATTTTGATGATGGCTCCTTCAGTGACAATCTCTATCCAGAGGATATCGTGGTAAGAGCCGACTCTGACCTGGACTAGAGATGCCCAATGCGTGGATATGGATCCCCTACATTGCTTGGGAAATGGCAGCTCCCCTGATTGTGTATCTGTGGGGGGGTCCCTCAAAAATGGGGAACCACCAGTCCTGGGTGTGGTATTGATTATACTTGGGAGTTTATCTCTGCTGGCCGGCTCACAGATTGGGGGTCTGAGAAACTTCAGACTGTTATTATACATGAAAAGGATCGCTCTACCGAACACGGATATGTCTGTTTGGCAATAAACTTGTGCCGGCCATAGACTGGTAGAAAATCGGACAATTTTCACACAGTTAGTGGGTTCATTGGTCGGCTGTTTTTTTTTGTTTTTGGCACTTTTTTTTTTTTTTTTTTTTTTATTGGTAAAGTTGGAAAGTTTGCAGCCGATTAAAAAAAAAAAAAAAAAAAAAAAAAAGCGCATGAGCCGTGACCTGCAAGAATAAGAATTCCAGTCCGCTATTATATTTTGTGAAAGTCTTGCAGTTGCAGCAATGTATCTATTTGTATCCGAATAAAAACATCTGTATCCAAAATGGATACATTGTTGCAACTGCAAGACTTTTGCATGTCAAATATTATAGCGGAGCTCTCTGCAAGGGACAGAAGTCATTAAATGCTGGCCGTAGACGGGATGAAAATCGGCGCTTTTTTTTTTTTTTTTTTCCTACTGTGGGTGGTAACGTCGGCCGATTGAATGATCCGACTTTTTTTTTTTTTTTTTTTTATTAAAAAACAGCCGGTTTTTGACCGGTCTATGGCCTGCATTAGGGATTCTATTGGTGGGAACTACCGGGTCTGTACACCTGCTGTGCCCATTATGAGGGGTTCCCACCATCCCTGGGCTGAGTTCCCAGCTGTGTACACCCACTGTGCCCATTATGACAGTGCCCACCATCCCTGTGTGGAGTTCCTGGGTATGTACACCTGCTGTACCCATTGAGGGGTTCCCACCATCCCTGTGCTGCACCTCTTTTGTCTCTAATGCCTGGAATGCCAAAGAAAGTTGTATATTTGGAAAATAAATTAATTTTTTTTCATTTTAATCTGCAGAGCCGCGACTGTCTTAATTTGGGTCCTCCAGCCGCTGGGGATATCGTTCAGGTCCGCTGGACCGATGGCCTTGTGTATGGAGCAAAGTTTGTTGCATCTCACACTATACAGATGTACCAGGTAAGCGTTTTTGTTTTGTGTGTTTTTTGTGTTTTTGTTTGTGTTGTGTGGGTTTTTTTTTTTTTTTTTTTTTTTTTTTTTTTTCTTTTGTGTGTATGAATGTATCACTAAAAGCCCAGCAGATATGAGGTCAGATAAAAGTTGTCCAGCAATGTCACTGGGAATTATTTGAGGCCGAAAGTATATTAAACACAAGTGAGGGAAGGAAGACCGTTAGAGGCGACAAATTCCCACCTGCAGTGTAATGTACGATCGACCTCTCCAGAGCTCATGTGAAGGCTGTGAATAGGCTGGTCTGTCCAGTAGGCACCACAGGTAGTGCAGGTGGTACTTGTCAGACACGCCCTCTCACTCTGCAATAGGAGTCTGTGTGAGAACACGTGTGCCGAGGGGTTGTGGCTGTTACTCAGCTCTGCAAGCACAGAGCACCGCAGCGGGAGGGCAGGAAGTGACATTCTCAATGCGTTTCCAGGCAGAAAATCCATCACAAATCCTAATGCTGAGACGTCGGTTGAGCTTTACATTTTCTTGTTAGGTTTGTCTTCCGTCTCTACGACTTTATGTTGTGAAGTTTTTGTTTTTTTTTTTTTTTTTAATCATCCCGTATCCTTGGTTACAGTACAATTTTTATATTTTTTTTTTTTTTTTTTATATATTTTTAGTGGAGTTCGAGGATGGCTCTCAGCTCCCAGCAAAGAGGGACGACGTGTACACTCTTGATGAAGAGTTGCCAAAGAAAGTGAAGTCCCGTCTGGTGAGTATTTGGCTGTCAATCATGTTCTGTGTTTGGTGTCGGTTGGAATGTTTAACTGCTTGCCATCCAAATGATCACCGAAACACTGCTGCAGTGCATTCGTCTGGTTCTGAGAGGAGGTCCTCTCTGAGCTCCACCCCCTGTGCGCCCTCTGGGGCATGCTCTGCGACTCCTGTTTTTCCTGTAGGCACAGCTGATCACAGATCGGGGTAAAGGGCCAAACACGGCGGTCCTTTATCGTGTGATCAGCTGTGTTGAATCACAGCTGGTCACATGTAAACAGACTTGTCAGTTAGTCAGTCCTTTGCTCACATGTCGTGTCTGTGAGGAAAAGAGATAACCGCCGAGGCTGTCCGTACATTGTTTACATGTGGTGTCCCCACTGCTCCTGTGTGAGGTGATGCTGTTGTTACATTGTTTACATGTGGTGTCCCCACTGCTCCTGTGTGAGGTGAGGTTGTCGGTACATTGTTTACATGCGGCGTCCCCACTGCTCCTGTGTGAACCCAGGCTTGTCATTATCCAGAACCCCCCCCGCATTGATCCATGCTGTCACACAAGGAAAAGCCACCTCTCAGGTCTGGGGATTTGAAATCCTGGCTGCTTTCTCTCCTCTCCTTGCAGCAAGCTAGCCGGCTTCTGATTGGTCAGCAAAGCGATGGTGCTGACCAGTCAAAAGCAGTCTAGTCCAGCAATGGGCAAACTACGGCCCGCGGGCCGTATACGGCGGACCTTTTAATCCGGCCCACCTTTTAATCCGGCCCGTGGAGCTAGGCTCCCGCTAGGCTCCTCTCACAGTCCGCCCTGAAGACCGGTGTAGCATGAAAATCTGTCTCCTATGAGGATCTGTCCCCCGCGACGTATCTGCGCATGTGCCGGAGATCGCCGATCGGCTGCTAATGCCTGAAACTGGCACATGCGCAGATACGTCGAGGGGGACAGATCCTCATAGGAGACAGATTTTCATGCTACACCGGAACGGCGCGGGAACACGGCGAGGGGAACGCGCTGAGCAAAGGTAAGTGAATTGACACGGGGGACTTGGGGACTTAATATGGGGGATGAATTACTATATGGGGGATGAATTACTATAGGGCGGGATGAATTACTGTGTGGGGGATGAATTACTATATGGGGGATGAATTACTATATGGGGGATGAATTACTATATGGGGGATGAATTACTATGCTTACTATGGGGGAATATTACTATACTTACTATGGATGACACATACACATCATTCATCTACTCTTGGTCTGGCCCCCGGGTCCAATATATGAACCCATTGCGGCCCTCAAGTCAAAAAGTTTGCCCACCCCTGCTCTAGTCCATACTGTCATCCTTGCACGGGGAGGAGAGAGAGAGCCACTTGGATTTTAAATCCCCAGACCTGTGAAGCTGCTTTTTCTTTTTTGTGTGACACCATGGGATTGGTGCAGGGTGGGGGGGGGGGTCCCACTAATGACAAGCCTGGGTTCACATCGGAGCAGTGGGGAAACCGCATGTGATTTCAGCATGCTATTCTTTGTGGTGCAATTTACTTCAATACAAAAAAAATGTATGGGATGCAAACTGCACTGCAAAGTATTGATTTTGGGTATCGGGAGCATTTTCATGAGTACTTGTGAAAATACTCGGTACCAGTACATCCCTAAATCACAGTGCACATTGGTGAAGAATTGCATATTTATCAAATTTTATAATGGAAACATATATTTATTTTATCATTTTATAGAATTTTTTTTTATTTGATATTTTTTATTTTTTTGTTTGAGATTTTTTTTAATATATATATATATATATATATATATATATATATATATATATATATATATATATATATATTTATATTAAAAAAAAATTATTTTATATATATTTTTTTATTTGATATTTGTTGTTTTATATATTTTTACTATTTTTTTTTTTTTTATCTTTTATTAAAATTTTCAGGGTGTTTTTTTTTTTTTTTTTTTTTTTTTTTTTTTGGGGGGGGTTTTTGCAGAAACTAAAAAAAACAAAACCTAATGATTGAATACCACCAAAAGAAATCTCTAAAAAAAAAAAAATGTATGTGGGTACAGTGTTGCATGACTGCGCAATTGTCATTCAAAGTGTGACGGAGCTGTAAATTGGCCTGGACAGGGAGGGGGTTGAAAGAGCTCGGTATTGAAGTGGTTAAACTTTGTTTCCTAATTCTTATTTCTTTTTTCCCATCTGACAGTCTGTGGCGTCCGACATGCGCTTTACGGAAATCTTCACAGAGCAGGAAGTGAAGCAAGAGGTGAAAAGACAGCGAGTCATCAACTCCAGGTATAGGGAGGACTACATCGAGCCCGCCTTGTACCGCGCCATCATGGAGTGAGGAGGTTGCACTGCTCAGCAGCTCCACATAGGGGGCAGCGCACAACCCTGGCCAACCGTCTTTTTGTTCTGTTGGGACCTTTATAATCTTCTTTACTGTGACTGGACTCTTTCCACCTTCGGATTCTGAGGCCCCGCCTTCTCTTTGCAAAGCATGATGGGTAAAGGACAACTTGGCTGAACTGTCCCGGGTCTCGACACCAACTTTTTTTTTTTCTGTTGGCATTTTTTCCCTTTTTTGTTGGCTTTTGAGCTTGCGGAGGTTACTGAAGGCTCCACCTACTTCTTGGAACAGTGTTACCAATTTCCTCTTCTATGACTGGCTCTCTTGCCTCGCCCTCTGTAGCCAATCCCCCGAAGGAGCCTTGGAAATCAATGACATTGATGGGAACTTTTTTTTTTTTTTTTTTTTTTTTTTTTTATATTTTTGTTTTTTTTTTTTTTTTGGTGGTTGGTGGGTTTTTTTTTTTTTTTTTTTTGTTAAATTTCAATTTTTTTCGGGTTTTTTTTTTTTTTTTTTTTTTTTTTCCTCCTCCCTGCTGACCATTTGTTTTCAGTTTGATAAATTTGGACATTGGATGGCTGGGTTCAGTTTTGATATTTGTGGCATTGTATGAGGTGATGGACGTGTTTCCTGCTGAATAAATAAACTGCAGATTAACATGAGTCCTATGGGGAAACGGTGACGGGTTCAATATTAGGCATTTTTTTTTCCTCTAAGATCCAGTGAGTTTCTACCTCTCGTCCTAACAGCTAAACGTCTGGTTTTTAAAACCTTCAGGATTTCAGAATTCATATCTGGTACCAAGTCTCCAAATCGATGGGGGAGGGGGATGTCTGCTTTTCGTGCTTTATCAACATCCAGACATCGCGTTCCTTCTCCGCCGTCACCGATGAGCGTTGAACACCAGCCTGCTCTTCTGAACTTTCGTGACCTTGAAATATAGTTTATCAGCTTAAACGAATAATAAAAAAAAAAAAATGAACAGTGTCATATTCTGGGTCACAAAACACAAAATTTCAGCTTTTGAGGATCAAATCTGGTATTTCAAGGTTCAGAGGAAACTTTGTTTCTGAAGAAGCTCCTTCAACAACGCAGCTAGGAGCAGTTGGGGAGTTGATCAATTTTTAAAGTGTATGTAAACCCATTGGAACTACTCATTGCATACGAGGATTAAAGAGGACCCTACATTTGGAGAGATGCTATTTATGGCCATTTAACGTAAAGCGACTTTTTTTGGCCTCTTATCTTGCACTCAAGTGATGTAACGTGTACCACCTCACTGTCTGACAGCGGGGTGTAATTAGTTTCAGCGTCAGAAGAAACTGAGCCTGATATGAAAGAACACTTCCCCGCCATCCCTTTTTAGATGTGCATGCTGCTTTCTGGGCCTTTTGAGAGCAATGGGTGCTAAAGACTTCAGCAGATTGCTTGACTTTAGCTTTGCAATCTGCTGATCAGTTGCTTAACTTTAGCTTTGCAATCTGCTGATCAGTTGCTTGACTTTAGCTTTGCAATCTGCTGATCAGTTGCTTGACTTTAGCTTTGCAACTGACCGGCAGATTGCAAAGCTAATTATTAGCTTGATTACTCTTATCGGCTGCTTCTGCAACAGATTGCACAGCTAATGTCCGCAGTTGCTAGTGGAGAGCAACATGCCTATATAAAGGGATGCTAGCAATGTGTTCTTTTGCATAGTTCAGGGGCAGATGTTGGCTTCCTTACATTGAACACTCTGGTTCAGAGCAGGTCATGATCAGAGAGGCAACGCTGAAGATGGATGATGGACTGGAAGAGCGTTTCCCTTCTGAATATGGAGGCAAAGGGAAATGACTAGATCAACCCGCTTTTACAGAATATAGGAAAGACAGGAATGTTGAGCGCACAATAACAGCCAATAATTTGGGGGATTTTGGGTTTACGGACACTTAAGTTAATGTCTTTTTTTTTTTAAAAACACAAAAAACTGCTAGTTAATTTAAAGACTATATTTATAATGAAGCGTGTGTAAGACTAGTGCTTATAGTCCCTCCCCCAGGGCCCCGCGGGTCGTCTCGGCAGAGGGCCCCGCGGGTCGTCTCGGCAGAGGGCCCCGCGGTCGTCTCGGCAGAGGGCCCCGCGGGTCGTCTCGGCAGAGGGCCCCGCGGGTCGTCTCGGCAGAGGGCCCCGCGGGTCGTCTCGGCAGAGGGCCCCGCGGGTCGTCTCGGCAGAGGGCCCCGCGGGTCGTCTCGGCAGAGGGCCCCGCGGTCGTCTCGGCAGAGGGCCCCGCGGGTCGTCTCGGCAGAGGGCCCCGCGGGTCGTCTCGGCAGAGGGCCCCGCGGGTCGTCTCGGCAGAGGGCCCCGCGGGTCGTCTCGGCAGAGGGCCCCGCGGGTCGTCTCGGCAGGTATTTCTCACTTAGCCTTTGTTGGAATTTTTTGGTTTCTTTTGCAGAACAGTAAACCTGTAGCCCTCTATTTGCCACTTTTGGCCCTTTTTTTTTTTTTTTTTTTTTTCCCCTTTAGGAACTAAAAGTCCCAGCATGCCTCGCAGCCAGAGGAAAGGGCAGCAGGTGACCAAATGCCTTTTTCTAGCACCTCCTGTATGTTTTTTGTTCTTTTTGCAGACACATAAATCGCTGTCTATGGGGATGGAGCAGGTCAAGTCTCTAGGACAGGGACCCCCGCTATCAGAATCCATAACCACCAGAAATTGCTTTTGTAACTTTTATTTTTTTTCCTCTCCACTCTAGAGGTGCAGAACTTTTTCCTGATGCTGATTTCTGCAGCATCACATCCCCTCTGTATTGTAATAAAAAAAAAAAAAAAATCTTTTTTTTTTTTTTTTTTCTAAACATTAAATTATATGGCATCGTAGAGCATTAATTTTAGCAATAAACTTGTGTGGCGTGCAGCTATTGTGTCTGAATATTATTTGAATATATGTGGTATTTAAATAAAAAATAAAAAAATAAAAATGACTCGGCGTTGTGTTTTTCCTAACGTGTGTGTGTGCGTGCGTGCGTGTGTGTGCGCGCGTGTTGGACATTATGGCAGGGCGGTGTTTTTAACGAAACGCATAGAAAGCGTCTGTTAATGATGATGATCCGGGCTTTGCGCTGCCGTTCTGGAAAGGCCAAATCCAGTCCAACAGACTATTCAAACCGCTGAACCATCTTAAAGTGGTTGTAAAGGGAGAATGTGTTTTTGGTTTTAGGTTTGTTTGTTGTTGTTTTTTTTTTTTTTTTTTTTAATTTTACTTTTTACTTTTTTTTTTTTGTTTGTTTGTTTGTTTTACCTTCATGCATTCTATGAATGAAGGTAAACCTTCTGTATGCAGCAGCCCCCCTTCAATACCTGAGCCTGATCGTAATCCAGTGGTTTACACAACGGCCTCAGCTGTCCTGGGTCTCTGCCTTCTCATTGGCCGAGTCAGCCAATGAAGAGAGAGGGGGCAGGGATAAGCTGTGGCTCCGTGTGTGAATAGACATACGGAGCAGCGGGGGCCCCCATAGCAACCTGCTAACTGTGGGGGCACCCGACAGACAGCCTGCGGGGGAACTGAGAGGAGGATCAGGGCTGCTCTGCGCAAAACCACTACACACAGGTAAGTATAGACATGTTTATTATTTTACCAAAAAAAAAATGACCCTTTTTAGAAATGCTTTAAAGCAGAACTTCCCCTTTTGTGTGGAGCTCCACTTTAAGAACTGGTCAGGAAAAAGTGATGGCTGGATCATTTAACCTCCCTGGCGGTATTCCCGAGTGTAGCTCGGGGTAAAGCTTGAGCACCACAAGCGGTAACCCCCGAGGTACACTCGGGAATACCATGCGGCGCGGCTCCGGGATCTCTCGATCACTTACCTTGTCCTGCGCCCCTGCGATGTCCCCCCTGCAGTGTCCCCGGCAATGTCCTCCGGCGGATGCAAGCATCTGTCTTGAGCTGGCGGGAAATTTGAAAATTGTAAAAGCAGGATGGATTTGATTTAAATCGCTAGTCAGTAAGGCTGGATGTAAATCCTCGTTTTCTACATAAAGACTAATTCTTCTGGTATAACTTTAATATACAAGGAGATGAAGATTTTTAGAATAACTTTTCATATTAGTTTTTTTATCCCCAGTTTAATAGGTTAATCATTCATATTTGGACAACTTTTTTCTGTTGTACTTAGGAAGGAGAAAAATAATCATCACCTTGATAATAACAATTTAAATAGATTTATTCAACTGAAACAATAACATTCCAGCATCTGTGATTTGATTAACTAGTTGCCGACCGCAGATAGCCGAATGACGGCTGCACTGCGGCCGGCCAGTTCTGAGTGGACGTCATATGACGTCCACCCAGAAGGCACCCGGCGATATCCGTGATAGCTGTGTCTTACAGACACAGCTGATCACGTGATGTGGTAAAAGGCCAATCACAGCGGCCTTTTACCACCTGATCAGCGGTGTCCAATGACACGCTGATCAGAGGGAAATGCAAGTGCCGGTTCTCGGCTGCACTTTCCTCACGCTGTCAGATCGTGAGGAAAGTACTGCCGAGAACCGGCAGTTGTCAGAGCGGGGATCGGCACCGATCATCAGAGCACTGATGATCGGTGCCCAGCAGTGCCACCCGCAAGTTCCACCCACCTGTGCCCAGCAGTGCGCCCACTAGCTCCGCCCACCTGTGCCCAGCAGTGCACCCACCTGTGCCACTCTGCAGTGCAGCCCATCAGTGCTACCAGTCAGTGCCCAGGGGTTGTGCCAGTCAGTGCCCAGCAGTGATGCCAGTCAGTGCCGTCTATCAGTACCCATAATCAGTGTCACCTATCAGTGCCGCCTATCCGTGCCACCTCATTAGTACTGCCTATCAGTGCCCTTTAGTGCTGCCTATCAGTGCCGCCTCATCAACGCACATCAGTGAAGGAGAAAAAATACCTGTTTGAAAAATTTTTATAAAAGAAACTTTTTTTTTTTTTTTCCAAATTTTTTGCACTTTTTTTTTATTTATAGCGCAAAAAGTAAAGCGCCCAGTGGCG